AACTAGTCAGGGCTAGGCTGATGCTTAAGAACTTTTGTTTTGCAAGTCCAATCTGCCCGGGGACCTTCTACCCGGAGTCCTACAAGTGCTCTCGTGTTTGGAAGACTGTGAGTAGGTATTTCAGCACACACTCATTCAGCACCAACTATCTGACCTACACAAACCCTGTTTCTAAAGCATGAGCACAAAAGGTTTTCAAAAGGAGTTTCTTATGTAGGTAGACTGAGTCTAGACAAGTTCAGACATGTTCCTGGCTATACTATCACATAACACTGAAGAGCTGCAGTCAACACCTGGAACTTAACTTTACCACAAAAATCACTCCTAAGAGCCCCCTCCCTCAGAGCTGCGGTGCTGGATGTGCCCGGGTGTGCAGGCAGCCGGCCCTGCATTGCATAACATCTGGAGGGGGGAAGGGAGCCGCGGGAGTTAAGCATGCCATTTAATGGAGGGTGGATTTTTATCCTAGATGCAATGGCAGCAAAATTCCCTCCCAACGACGATGCTTGGGTTTTACTCCCGAGGAAGAAATGGTTCGGTGCCAAAACATCTTTTGGAGAAGTTCGCTTTTGGCCTAAAGACAAAAGCAAAAGCTCAACCTCTCACTCTAAAGCCTCATAACTTCTAATGAAAAATAAATAAGTAGATAATAAAGAGGAACAATGTGTACCTACCGCCTTTAAAGAACGTACAGCCGGGACTCTCAAAAAGGGCAAAGTGAGATTTATGTAGCAGAAAGCGAAGAAGTTGGAACAGCCCACAAACAGAACTCAATGTGTAATTAAAAAGAGGCAGAACTCTAGGAAAGTGTTTAATAAATAAGAGGGAAAAGACAACTCAAAGTGCCTAACTTGTATTTCTTGAAGATCAAGAAACAGCCTCAGAAACTTAGAATGCATATATATGTTCTACCTGAAGCATTTTTGCAATATTGTTAATAAAACCAGCTGGCAGCTTTTTTAGTACTGTCCCAAGTCTGCCAAAACTCTGAAACACATTGAGCAACTCCAGGTGAACTGGAGGGAAGTGGACAGACTTTTAAAGGCTATTTACAAGTATCCATATTGCTCCAGTCAACCCCTAATTTTCTTCCCCAAATTGGCTGAACAAGCTATTTTAAATTAACTTCCCTATTTCAGCAGAACTGCAAATTCACTTTAAATACAACAAATACAATTAATAACAGTACTATTGGAAATATTCTGTCAAAATGCAATAAATCTCAGATTAATTACTACACAACTTGTTAAAGTCATACAACAGGGAAGTAACTCCAGGTCTGGCCATCACATAATTATTGCCAAAGAGCAGCTTGCCACACTTGTGAAAAAAGTTCTAGTGAAAATTATTTATGCCTTTGTTAATTAACCCATACATGGACATCGCTTATAAGAACCCAGGCTACCAAGTGAGTGCACTTCTCTCACCCCTGCTGTGAACTCCCTCACCATTTCCTGCAGATGAACATTAATCCTGATGCAGAGGGTGAAGGGATCATCACTGCAGAAAAGCACCATACCTTTAACGAAGGGAAAAGTGTTTTGATAGTGTCATCCAGATAAATTATTTGCAGGACAGACTAATGATAGAAGATTCTGACCCTAAAAACAAGCTTACTGCCTAACATCACCTGGGGCGGCGTGGATTACACAGGGTCCCTCAACATAACAAAGGAAAGGTGTTTCCCAAAGAGGAAAATGTACCTTGATTGCAGCATTTTATAAGGAGGGAAAGCAGGGTTAGTATATTCAGGTCGATAGCCCAAAGGCCATGCTAAGAAGAGGTGAAAGCTGGGGAATGGGACAAAAACACAGCAGCAGAACTGCAAACTGTACAAAACCAGGCACAACAAATCATACCACGGGGCAGGAAAGCAGCACCCTGGCAAGAACACACGAGAAAAACGAGCAGCACCTGTCAGCATACCTAACAGGTCCTGGCTGCCGAAGGGTGAACCCTCACAGGCTTCAGGCCCACTCTTAAGAGTAATCACACTACAGCCTGTGCTAATTTTCACATACTCTTGTATACATTACACCAACTTAACAGATTTCCCTTTTACACAGCCCCATCCATCTACAAGACTTATTAACTAATACTCAAAATTTGAAAACATGTTTTCAGAACCAAACTAGCCACTGTAGTGGGCAATTAAAGCTATTTCAATCACTTAAGATTTTCTTCCATTGTAATTAAAAGATTTCCTTTAAAAAAGCAATTGATTATAAGGTTGTATTTGAGATACTGTTACTTCGAAAAGAAATTAAATACTCCTGAAAAAGAAAGCTTCTTCAGCACAAACCAGGAATACTGTGGTTATACATAGTATCTTCACGAGTAACTTTCAGGTTGAGCTCTGCTAAGCTTTCTGCTCTCCCAGGGAACATCACAGAAAAAAACCCATCGGTATTACACTGCAGTGTCAGTAGTTTTATTCATATTATCAACATGTGAATAAAGTGGGAAAGTATCTTCTGCTGTGAAACACTTCTCCAAAGCAAACTCCCAAACTCCTCAAGAAAGACCTTCTTTCACATTGTATCAGCTTACAAAGCACATGGCATTATTTGCTATTCCCTCACTCCCTCTGCAGATGCAATTTGCCAATATAATTCAATGTAGAGCTGTAGAAAGGGGGAAATGAAACCAAAAAGGTGACAAAATTGTCTTATTACTGTTTCTTAGTTCAACAGTTCCACACAAGCTTTTTTCCCAACTGTTGATATCAAGGCCTTCACTTGGATTTCAGGTTTCAAACCTGAGGTTTCTGGATTTGATGCTGTAGTACCTACAACTTCGCTAAGTAATCTTCCAACAATCTCTGAAACAGAAAACACTTCATTCTCCTGCATCCATCCCAGTGAAGAGTTGCAAACCTAACGAGAGGGTCACATTGTGGCTACTGCCCTACAATAACAGCAAAACTGTCAGAAGTAGTTTAAAAGAGGCAAGTGGTAATGACGAGTCAAACCCCACAATTCAGACAGCAGCATTTTCACAGCTTTCTTTCAGTCACTGGGCTCTCTGTACCACTAACACTCCTGGTTTCTGTTTTTCATCATTACATTGCATATCTTCCACAGTTTTCTCCAGGTGCATCCTCCCTGATAACCTGTACCTGCATTTTTCCTAAGGCAGTGACGCAAAGCCTTTATAAAGCCAAAATACACGTCGAAAACCAGAGTATTTAGAGAGACACCCCTAGTTAGCCAGCAGATGCTAAGTTTCTGCTAAACACCAAGGTAACTTTCACGTGGACACCACAGTAGCTTTAAGACTTCCATACGGCCTTTCTACCACAATTCTCCCTCCTTCCGAAGCCTGCTTTAGGGTCCAGGGCACCATAAACCATTCCTGAATTCCGCTCATCCTCCCGTTCCGCAGGGAAAGCGCCCTTTGAGAGCTCCCGGGTCCACTGGATCACATGCCCCCCCCTCCTCCTATCAATTAGTCACTCTTTAACAGCTTCGCAGCCCTTTGAACCGACGAGCTCCACGAACAGGCAAAAAAAAAAAAAAAAAAAAAAAAAAAATCACAACTCCCGAGAGCTGGAGCCGGGCGGCGAAGCCCACCGAGCCCCTCCGCAGCCCCGTCCCGCTCCTCTCCTCCCCCCGCGCTGCCATGATCGCTCCCTCCCCACCGCACACCCCACCGGCCGCTCGCCCCGCCACGGCGGGAGGGGAGGGGACAAGGGGGGGGCCCCGCAACAAACACCGCCTCCCCTCCTCCTCCTCCTCCTCCTCCTCACGGCAGCTCCCCCTCATCCCCATTCCCCCCCCCCCCCCCCTCCGGCGGGGCCCGCGGGCGGCGGGACGGGCCTGCCACCCCCTGAGGCGGCGGAGGGCGGGGGGGAGGCGGCCGGCCCGGCCCGGCCCGGCCCGGGACGCGGCCCCGCAGCACCGGGCGGCCTCCCGCCCTTCCCCTCCGCCGCCCCAGGGCCGGCGGCCTCTCGCCGCTCCCCTCCGAGGCCCCGGCCCCCCCGCACCAGTTGGTCATGTCGAGGAAGAAGGCGCAGCCCGCGGGGCTGAGCTGGAAGCCGAGGAGCCGCTGGAACTCGCCGATCAGCACGTCCTTGTCGGTGGTGCCCAGGCAGCTGAACTTCTGCATCAGCTCCGCGTCCAGGTCCACGTCCATGCCCTCCATGGCGCCCGGCGGTTCCCCGCCGCCCCGGGGCCGCCCCGCTGCCGCCGCCGCCGCCTCAGCGCCGCATGTGGGGGGGGGGGGGGGGGGGGGGCGAGGGGGGAGCGCGGGCACGGCGGGGGGCGGGGGGGAGGGGAGGGGGCGCGGGCGACGCCAGCCGCTGCCCGGCACTGCGCAAGCGCCGCCCCGCCTCGCGCGAGGGGGCACGCGGCCTGTGACGCCACCGCGTCTGGCGTCACCCCACGCGCGGCGTGAGGGAGGAAGAGGGAGGGGGGGGGGGGGGGGGGGAAAGGAAAAAAAAAAAAATTAAAAAAAAAATTAAAAAAAAAGGGTGGAGCGTCGGCGGCGCGATCCGCCCCCGGTGGCAGGAGAGCAGCGAAGGGGGGCGGGATATGTAAATGAGAGTTTTGCATACGCGGGTGTTGCGTCACGGAAGGGAGGGGAAAAATTTGCATAGCCCCCCCCCCAGCCGCGCCCTTCCATATATGGAGGCGGTGCGGGCGGTGAGCGCGGGTGTTTATGTATGCAAATTAGAAATGGGCGGGGCGAGCTGTGACCTCAGACGGCTCTATGCAAATGAGGGGGCGCAAGGCCTGCTGGGTGGGGGTGCTAGCGCAGGCTCGGCGCCTCGCCGAGCGTTTGTTTTTGTTTTGTTTTGTTTTGTTTTGTTTTGTTTTGTTTTGTTTTTCCCCCAAAATGACGGTTTTCCCGCAGTTTTCAGCCACTCGTGACCCGCCGGCACCGGGGGCGGACACACGACGCCTTCTGTCCGTTAATTTTATAATGTCAATAAAACTTTGTTTTTTTTTAACGCCAACCTGCTGCGTCACGTGAGGATTTTTCCTTTCCCAAGCGCAATCCCGGCGCGCCCCCCCGCCGCGGCGGGACCCAACGGGCCTCACCGGGGTGCGGGGGGTGGGGACACGGTGCCGCCCGTGATCCCGGTGCCCAGCTCTGACGTAGCTCGTACGTGGGCAAAGCGTGGCGTGACCGGGGGCGCGGCGGAAGCCCCGCCTACGAGGCGGGAAAAGCGAAGCTGCTCCTCGGCCTCTTCCTGTCCCTCGCGGGTCGCCGTCGAGCCCGGCAGCGGAGAGAGCGTCGCGAAGGGAGCGCGTCACTTCCGGGCGGCGCCGGCGGCGGGCAGCACCATGCCCAAGTGAGCGCGGCCGGGGGGGGCCGGGACTGTCCGGGAGGGTTTGGGGGGGCCGAGGAGGGGGTCGGTGACCCCGGCTGCATCGGCGGAGGGGATGTGGGGGGGGCTCGGGGTGCCTGTGTCAGCCTCTTCCCCCCGCCTCCCCCGGGCACGACCCTGCAGCCGCTGTGACGGGTCGCGGTCTAACGCTCGCAGTACAAAGCGGTTTCTTAATAAATTTCTCAAGAAGAGTTTTCTTAATAAGAGTTTTTCCCTCTTCAGGTTTTATTGCGATTACTGCGACACGTACCTCACCCATGATTCCGTAAGTACTGAATCCTCCGCTTTAATCTCTCTCTGTTGTATCAAGAGCATCAGATTAAAACGGATGTAGGCTAAAACCAGGTTGCCAGAGGTAGTGTGTACGTCCTTGGTCTTTCCTACTTCTTAGCCAAAAAGGACAAGAACATCAAGTGTGAGCAGCGTTCAGGGGCAGCCAACACAGTGGGCTGCCTGCAAGTTAGTAGGAGGCAGCTGCCTGGGTGTTAGGGCAACCTCTTCTACTTAAACTGAAGTCTTAATACTTATACATAAGTATTATGCATATACAAATACTTATACATAAGTATTATACACAGAGGTTTTGCACATCATCCATTCTCTGACTAGGCACAGAAACCGAGCTGGTTTATTACTGCTAAATTATATGTGTTTCAAATGATACAACAGTTCCAGGAAACTTTAGGGTTAGGTGATGTTATCTAAGCTTTGGGTTTACGTGATCTTTCTCAGCCGTCCGTGAGAAAAACCCACTGTAGTGGCCGAAAACACAAAGAGAATGTGAAAGACTACTATCAAAAATGGATGGAGGAACAAGCTCAGAGCCTGATTGACAAAACAAGTAAGGTTAATCCTTCTGTGACCCTGGATTGCTCTCCTGTTACTTCCCTTGTCTTTCCTCTAGCTGCTTTTTTTTTCGTGCTGATTCTCCCTCACTTCCCTGCTGAGTCTGTGCTCTGTGACTTATGAGTGAAAACTTTGCTTAGAATCTGAATCTTGAACTTGTCAGAGCGTGGGCTTCCCTGTAAGAGACCGAGGGCCCTGCCCATGGGGTCATTGCAAGCAGGCATTGCGCTGCAGGGGTTGAGAAGGTTGTGGAAGCCACCACCTTTAGCACTGCTGGTGACATCGTGCAAGGTCACATAACCCATTTTTGCTTTTTGGTAGTAGCACGTTTATGTAAAGAGCATGAATAAGAAATCCAAAAGATAGGAAAAATGTATGTGAAAATGCATGGATTTTTACATTTTTTAAAAAATGCCATAGCTGTTTGTCCTCAGTTCCCTAGGATGTTGATTTTTTTTTCTTTTTTTTTTTTTTTTATTATTCCTCTCTTGCTATTGAAGGCTTGAATAAAGTGCTGAAGTGTTTCCCCTATCAGTTTGTAGGGTTCTTTTCCTCTCCCTTGTCCTGAATAATGGTTCTTTTCTCTGAGAAAAGGAATACAAATGCGAGATTACCTGCATGGCAACTTTCTTTAGATCATAGGATATCTCAAGTTGGAGGGGACCCATAAGGATCTTTGAGTCCAACTCCCTGCTCCTTGCAGGGCTGCCTAAAGCTAAACCATATGACTCAGAGCTCCAGTGATGTCTGCTAGGCTCAGTGCTGTGCCCGCTTCCCTGGGGAAGCCTGTTCCAGTGACCAAACTCCCCCTCAGTGAAGATCCTTTTCCTAATGTCCAGTCTGGACTTCCCCGACACAGCTTCATTCCATTTCCTTGTGTCCATTTTCCTCGTGATGCTTCCAACTTTCATGTCTTTTGCCTTCCTTCTAGTTGATACCAGTCTTTTGAATTTCTTCTCTTCCCTTTCACATGTTTTTCATGCTTTTTGTCACCTACCTAAGTCATTGTCTTATTACCATTTTCAAGATGCATGTCTTTACCTAATGATCCCAGGTGAAAGTTGCAGCTGAAAATCACGTGATGTATTTTCTCCACCATCCACCTTCCTGTTAGGTGTGTGAAATTCATCAAGGAGCTATCTAGTCTCAGCTGGAGTAATTACTGTAATAACTGTCTCCAAGAATATCAGGTCCTTCCGCCAGGACAAGCAGCATAAACCAGGGATTTGTTCCAGAGTTAGAACAACTGAGCACGCAGCATGACATGACGTGACGTGACGTATGCTCTGACCGCGTGGCATGAGAAGGAAGATTGACGCAGGAGCTTCCTCAGCCTAGTAACTGGTTTTTCTCCTGGGATTCTTTCTTTCCTTTTTTTTTTTTCTTTTCCCCCCCAATGTAGCGGCTGCATTTCAGCAAGGGAAAATCCCACCTACACCGTTCTCGGCACCACCTCCCGCAGGAGCCATGATACCACCTCCTCCCAGCATCCGTAAGTCTGAACTGGACCCTATTGACTGGGATGGCAGCCCTCGGGCTGTGTTGCATGTTTCCTGGACTTGTAAAGAGAAGTCCTTTTAGCTTGAAATCAAGCTCAGGTGTTTTGACCTTGTGAATACCAAAATGTAAGAGAATGCTTTGGAAAAGTGTTTCAGCAATTATTTTAATCTTTAGTTTGCCTTGTTTTAGTAATACTGAGTATGTTAATAGAAGGGTGTGCCTTCTTATTACTTGGTAGCTGCCATGTAGATAACTTCATTAAACTTCCAGTGTGGGGTTTTTGGTTTGTTTTGTTGTTGTTGTTTTTTTTGTTGTTGTTGTTTTGGTTTTTTTTTATTTTTAAATAGGATTGATAACCTTTTTTTGCACTTGAGCTGGCAAACAGCTGAGAACCTTTTCTGCTTAGCGTAGTGCTGTCGGAACCGACAGTCATCCGCATTAGGAATGCAAAGTTGGAAATAACAGCTAGAATATTCCCTTTTTGGCACCTGAAGTCAGAGCTGAAACTGAAAATTATGTCAGGCAGTCGTAAAACGATAAGACATCTTTATTACTAAAACTTCCTGTAAAGTTGAGTAACTATTTTGCATTGCACGTTGTTGATGAATGTGAAAGCAGCCAGATGCATAACCAATCTGTGTATGTGTTCAGCTGGCCCCCCGCGGCCCGGCATGATGCCGGCCCCTCACATGGGCGGCCCGCCAATGATGCCAATGATGGGCCCACCCCCACCAGGAATGATGCCGGTTGGACCCGGTAAGTCTGGAAATTGGTAAATCTCTAACTGCTGTACTGCGTGGTCTGGTTTGCAGGGTGCTTGGACTGTATTTTCTGTCTCGTTGGGCGAGAGAGCTGTGAAAGGAGCACGGTGGAAAATGGGAAGCAGCTGCAGTTCTTGGGTGCTGGCTGTAGGGATGTGCTCTAGTTGATAGCTCGCGTCACTTCAGACGTTGTATTAGACACAGCTTGGATGGACAGCCCCGAGTGTCAAGCTGTGGAAGTATTTCAGTTTGCATATACTGCATACACACGTTTGTTGATCCATTATCCTCTGCATGGTGAGACATAAAACAGTCTTTAAAATGGTAATTAAAGTTCTTTTACTATTTGTTGAGAGTTACTAGTCCATCTGTACAGTTGTAATTATCACTCTGGTAAACTGTAGCTTTTCTACCTCTACCCTTAGCAGTACAATCCATAATTGTTAAGGAATTCTGTGTTCGTAGTGCTTATGTTTTTTGCACAAGGGATACTTTTCAGCACTAGATGAATTCTGTTGTTTAAAATGTTTCAAGATAATGTGTTCCAGAGAAATTATGTGCCTTAAAAAGCTTTTTTTCAGAACTGTAAAGGCAAACTAAAATGTCTTCAGCCCATTCCACTTTTGAGCTTACTGGCATTTGAAGAATTCTCAGAGGACATCTTACTGAAGCAGTTACTGGAACAAATCTAAAGGAATACACGCATGCGCACTAAAAGTAGTGAAGTGTCTTTGCAATTATTGTCTTGCTGGTAGAAACTGTTCTTTAAGTGTGTTTTAAACACGCAAAATAAGTGCATGATATGCAGTACTAGGCAGTATAATGGCTGCCTGAAAATAAATGGAGAAGTTGGATGGAAACCATGATTTCAGTGCTTTTTAGTAGAGCACCTGCTTTTTTTCATAAAACTGTTACCCAGCTGTAAGAGGTGCATTTTTTTTTGTTGCTTTTTGTTTTGTTTTGTTTTTGGTTTTTTTTTTTTACACACTGGAGGACTTTGCATCACCCTTTTCCAAATGAACTTTCCAATTCGGTGATTAAGCTAGTGTCTCTTGTGTGGCTGAAAAGAATTTATCAGTGAATATTGTCAAAAGCAGGTGTATAACCTGGGAGCCTTGGTTCTTCCTCTATTAATTGCTAATACCCTACAGGGAAATGTAATCCATCTCTGTCAGCTTCCAGATCAAAACTTACACACTTGTAAAATGAAAGGTCCCTGGAGGGATGGGGGCAGAGCCTGCACACTGTATCGATGTGACTCGGCAGTTGCTGCTCCCAAGAGCTCTTCTCTAACATCCCCTCTTTCCCCTTGTAGCTCCGGGGATGCGGCCGCCGATGGGAGGACACATGCCGATGATGCCAGGGCCCCCGATGATGAGACCACCCTCCAGACCCATGATGGTGCCAACCAGGCCGGGAATGACCCGTCCAGACAGATAAAGGTGGAAAAGGAGCTACCTTTTTTTTTTTTTCATATTACAATCTTCCATGTGATAAAATGCCATAGACCTATGTCCTTAGGATTTTGTATTAAAACAGTGTGTAGAAGAGATCAGCTGTTACTTCAGACTGCAGACAGTCTGACCTAGATGCACACTGGACTGATGCTTTTGTACCTGGTCCGGGGGTTTTGGTTTTTTGTTGTTGTTTGTTTGTTCCCCACCTCCCCATTGAATCGTAAAACACAACAATAAAACATTGATGCTGATTTACATATGGAGAATCTGAGCCTTACTCTGCGTGTGGCTTTTCTGCCTGGCAGAAAGAGATGTCAGTTTTCTTTGTTCCCTCTCTGTCTTGCACAGAATTTTTCAGCATGTTTTTTTTTTTTTCTCCGTAGTCCTTAGGTAGTCTCTTTTTTTCATGTAACACCCCTTGAGGTGTATTACTGTCTGCATTTTGAATTCGTTTCAAGACAAGTATGTGTGTTTTTAATAAAAATCAGAAAAAGTGACATCAGAACAGACTTCAGTGCTATCTTCAGCTGAGGGGATTGCAACATTAAATTACTTCACGAGCACAAAATAGGATGAATTTAAAAAAATGTTGATTGTCCACTGAGGGAAGCGAGGAGATGCTGTTAAGAGGCTACTTGTAGTAATTGTTTTGATGCTGCCAAACAGATTTCTGCTTTTCTACTGCTACTGAGGTGTTTGTGTGGACACGTATAATTATGTTATTGGAGTTGTTGAGTCAGTAGTTATTAACGCTCAGTTCCCTTCTGAGCATAGAGGGATGTGTTGCTGAAAACATATCCCAAGCCCTTTAGTTTATTAAAAGGATTTTGCTTTTGATGAGCCGTACATATTGTAGGTGCACAATTCCAATTGAATTAAAAGAATTTATTCTGTTCGCAGAAGGGACTGCATGTCGGTTGTCATCCATTTCAGTCTGCAGAAGTGTCCGACTCATTCTTGACATATTTCCATCTAGTACGAAAGCGTGGGAGTCATTTGCATCTTACAAGAAAGTGTTTGCTTAGCAGAAATGCGAGGGCTGCTTTTCCAAGTTCCTGTCTGCTATGGGACAGGACAGGCCAATAATTTAGAGGAGTTCATATTTTTAGGAGTTGGTGTGCTTTCAACGGTCCCCTGTACAGAACGTGGTCTAGTTGAGACATCAAATATTTAATAGCTGTGTTCAGCAAACAATGAGATGAGCCAAAAGTTGGAGAAGCTAGTTAAAAGTTTCTATAATAAACCGTACTGGGGTCGGCAGCTGCAGCACGGAGCACTGGGGCTGGACTGGTGCAGAGGTGCTGCCACACCGGTGTGGGGGGTTCTGCTGCTCTCGAGTTTCCCCTGTGGGACAGCAAAGGGGTCGTAGCGCAGCCTCGTCACCCATGTTGGACACCGCGTGGGCCACGAGGAGCAGAGATGATTGCACTAGTGTGTATCTTGGAAGGTGGAATGCATCTCCCTGATGAATAATCTGAGCATCTTTCAGCTTTACGCTGAAGCTGGATTGGTTTGACATCAACCATACAACACGCATCGTCAATGTGTATTAATGATTTTCTCCTGGGGAAAAAAATAGGTGGGACTTAGTGATGGTCAGCACTGGGCTTTGATAAAAGTTCAAAGCTTGCATGTATGCCACTTGAGTTCCGCAGCCAACTGTCAGATTAAAGCAGAATGTGCTTGGTAAAGTACAAAGCACGTGGGTTTCTTGTTGTGGGGCTGTTAAAGGCGTGACTGATCCCTGTAAGGCTGCGGGGGGTAGGCTGGGCTGGCACAACAGTGAAACCCTTTATCTGGGGCTCCCTTTGCTGAGCATGGCCTTCGGAAGCAAAGCACTCCCTTGTAATCCCAGTTGAAGTCCCCCACAGCGCGTGAAATGGCCCGATTCGGTGTTGTCCATCGAGTCACAAATGAACTAAGTCACACAGAAACTGCTGGAAACAAAGATTAATTTTGTTTTCTTCCAAGCAGCCTCCCTGGTCACGCTGTTTTATGTTAGGTATTTTATTTTTGCAGTGCGAGCGCCTCTTTTTTAAAAAAAAAAAAAGTATTTTTCGCTGACGCGGGGTGGTTTTAGGAAGGGAGCTGGATGAAGAAGGTGCGACGCAGCTTTGTGTCTCGGCGGCTCCACGCGCGTGAATCATCAACGCTTTGAAAGCGGCTCGTTAAACCTGCCCGAGCCCGCCGGCACCGCCGCTGCCCCTTTGCTGTCGTTGCTTTTAGCCCCTGCCCGGGGTTTGGGGGGGGAGGGACACACGAACGGCACGGACCGGGTGTCCCGTGGGGTCGCGCCCACGCGTGGAGCGCAGCGCGGGCCGCCAGGGGGCGCGGCGGGGCGGTGGCGGCGCGCGGGGGCCGGCGGGAGGCGGCGGCGGGGCGGGGCGGGGCGGGAGGCGGCGGCGGCGCCGCGATGGGGTCCCGCCGCCCGCGGCCCTGAGCCCCGCGGCATGGCCGGCATCATCAAGAAGCAGATCCTGAAGCACCTCTCCCGGTGAGGGCACCCGCGGCCGGTCCTTCCTCCTCCTCCTCCTCCTCCTCCTCCTCCTCCTCCTCACCCCGGGGGGCTGCGGGTGAGGGAGGGCGCGGGCCTGAGGCAGGGCGGTGCGGGAGGGCCCGGCTCTGAGGGGCCGCCCTGGGGCTGGGGGTGGGAGCGGGGGTCTGAGGGGGGATCGGAGGGAGCGGGCCCAGCCTCCCTCCCCTCAGGGCCGCGTCCTGTGTGTGTGTGGGGGGTTCAGCCCCCTCAGACCCCCGCGGTGTGCGGGAGCTGCGGTGGAGGTTTCCAGCCCGGCCTCGGCCCTCGCCGCTGCCGGTTTTGCTTCAGTGCCGGGAAACAGGCGGCTGGGGGGTGGCTGGTGGTGCTGGGGGGCTGCTTTTGCTGAGCCCTGGGGATGGCTGAGCGCCTGGGCCGCTTCTGGCGCTGGCTCCGGCTCGGCTGGGAGCTGGTAACCGTGAATAAAAGTTCAGGGGATAAGAGGACAATACGGACAGCGGAAGGCACCGAGCCCGAGGGCAAGAAGGAATGCTGTAATACCTGATGCGCTGAGCACATGCTCAGGCACTTGGTTGGTGTTTTCGTTGGTGTTTCGTCATTTTCAATGAAGTTCATTAAAGACACTGAAAGGTGTGTTGAGGAAGACCGGCTGGTGCTTCGTGTGTGAGACTGTGAGTCAGTAAATGCAGCTCCAGCTGTGGCTCTGTCGCTGACGTGGGGGTTGACCTCGGGCAAATCGTGGTGCCTCAGTTTCCCTGCCGTTTGAAAGAAAAGAGCCGTGTGAGAGCTAAGGGTTCTTGTCTTGTCTGATGGCCATGGGCATGTCCTCCCTCTGCTGAAAGAGCAGAATGATATGAGATATAAAGGTGGCATATCTCAGAGGATACTGGTGAAGTCAGAGCATTGCACAGTGCTTTTCCTCTCTGTGCTTCATGAGCTGCAGATGATCAAGCCTTTTCCATTTTTACTGGTAGAGAAGCCCAGATAGGAAGTGAGGGCCTTACGTGGCATCAGTGCTGGAGCAAGGAGTTAACACCTGCAAATCCTGGCTCTCTGAGGCTTCTCTGGTAGTAAGTCCTGAGAGTTTCTGGAGCCTCAAAAGACTCCCCGCAAACTTTAAGAGAGCAGTCTCCTCAATAAAGTGTCTGTCTGCGGCAGTTCTGAGTCACTACTTGCTCAATACTCCAGCTTTCTAGGCACTGTACCAAAAAGGAGTCTAATAGAGCTTGCTGCTTGATCTGTTCAGTGTGCTCATTTAAATGAATTTCTGCTAGACCTGACATCACAAATCTCTAAGCTTTCTGTCTCTTTCCACCTCAAATCGGCATGTCATGCTCACTGTGAATTCGGTCTTCTTGTCAGGAGGCACTGAAGTATTTATAACAAGGAGAGGTGGATGAGAGCAGTTATTAATGGAGGCTGAAATAGAGATGGGCTTTATTCCTATGTACCGCTCTTTACATGATGAAAGAGTGTATGTGTTCTTAGGGATAATTCTCTTTATTTAGATAAATATGCTTTTCTTGATGGTGCTTTTACTTAATTTTTCCTTTCAGTCTCTCTTACCTTGCTCTGTTACAACATGTTCCTGTTCAAAGTGCCCCCTTTTTTCCCTTCTGATCAGGTCAGTTGTTAGTGTTCACCTGAGTCTCCTTTGTGTGGTTCCAGGAAGAGCCAGGGAGTCACAAGAAATTCTGCAGCTCTACCTGTTTTCCTGCTAGCAGGGCTTTGTCATTTGGGGTGGTTGGTTGGATCCTGCCCCTCTCTCGCATAAGTATTGTGGATGTTTTGCCGAAATGCATTTTGAACACAGTTTAATGTTGTCTGAGAAAGATGATGTTTTTTCATTTCTGTTTTGTTTCCCCCAAATACCTCAGATTCACACTCCCTTTGGGTCTTTTTCAGCTATGCTCATTTGCCTGGAAGAATTTTGCTACTGAATCGTTAATCTGTCTTTATTTTCTGCTTTCAGTTTGCATATGAAATAATTCCTTGTTTCTCTTGTTATGTCTTCATTTGAAGTCATTTCTGCCTGGGGTGCGTTTTTGTTTCTTTTCTATCTGGAAATTTGTAAGGAAAGGTCACAAGAGACAGCAAGATCAGGGAAATATGAAAGAGTTATTTCATACCAACTGTTCAGATTACATGAATCACATGTCTAATAGGATGACAGTGGTCACTTGCGGTGATCTGTAAAGCTGGGCTTTGCCCTTGGTGACAGAGCTGAGTTATGAATGTATTTTAGAAGGCTTAGCCTCTGTTGTGCTTTAGCAGCTTAAATTCCTAGAGCAGAAGAGCCTAAAACCTTGCAGTGCTTTCACCATCTGTGCTTTTCACTCTTTTGTCCTATATATAGCTTGGAAAAGAAAACAGATTAGGTGGTTTCACTTTTTGGTTCTTCTCCGCTGGCACATGGCTGCAGTGCTGGGGTGGCAGATTCTGCAGGCGATTGTTTATAACCGAACATCAAACTGTTATAGCTGGGACAGAGCGCGCTCCCTACGAGCTGTCTGAAGCATCAGCTGCTTGCCGTGTGTTTGAACTTGAATCTGGTTTGAATTCCTCCAAGGCTGTATAACAAGATCGGTACCCAGGTAGTGTTTACCAGCCTGTAATTATTAATGGAAGTACATCTATTGCTTTAAAATACAAACAGTAATTTGCATTTAACTCTTTCTGGTTTTTTTTTTTGAAAGTAGCTGCTTCTTACTGTCTCTTTTGGGGGTTGTGGTTTTTTTTTTTTTTTTTTTTTTTTTTTTTT